TAGAAATAAATAAATTGAAAGAAAACGTCCTCTCTGTGAAAACAGCCTAAGTATCCATCTGTGATGAATGGATAGGAGATTCCCTGGTCATCCAGTGGTTAGGACTTCACACTTTCACTGCCTAGGTGTTAGCTGCTCTGTGTTGTCCAACTGTTTGCGATCCTATGGACTGTAACCCACCAGGGTCCTCTGTTCATGGGATTTCCCAGGCAAGAATACTGGAGTGGGTTGCCATTGCCTTCTGCATTCACTGCCTAGGGAGCGGGTTCAATCCCTGGTCAGAGAACTAAGATGCTGCAAGGCACATGGCACAGCCAAAAACAAAACAAAATAAAATTTGACACATACAGACTACTATTAAAATAGGTAACTAATAAGGACCAACTGTATAGCACAGGAAACTCTATCAATACTCTGTAGCAGTATATACAAGAAAAGAATCTTTTTAAAAAGTGGATATATGTATATGTATAATGGATTCATTTTGCTGTATACCCGAAACTAACATAACCCTGTAAATCAACTATATTCCAATTAAAAAATAAATTTTTTATCCAAATGGATGAAGAAATGTGGTCCATTCATACAATGGAATATTACTCAGCCAGAAGGAGGAACTCAACTGACACACTCTTCCACCTGGGTGAACCTCAAAAACATTTTGCTGAGTGAAAGAAACCAGACACAAAAGGCCACTGATTATCTGATTCCACGTGTATGCGATGCTCAAAACAGGCAGATCCATAGACACAGAAAGCAGATGAGTGGTTGCCAGGACCTGAGGGGAGCGGGGAGACAGAATTTTTGACTAGCAGGTACCAAGCTTCTGGTGGCTCAGATGGGAAAGAATCTACCTGCAGTGCAGGAGACCCAGGTTCGATCCCTGAGTCAGGAAGATCCCCTGGAGAAGGGAATGGCAACCCACTCCACTATTCTTGCCTGGAGAATCCCAAGGACAGAGGAGCCTGGTGGGCTACAGTCTGTGGGGTCACAAAGAGAGTAGGATACAACTGAGTGACTAATGCACACACAAGTTTCCCTTCCGGGCGATAGAGAAGTTTTGGAAATAGATCAAGGTGCTGGTGGCACAGCATTGAGAATGTAATTAATGACACTGAAATGGATACTGAAAAATGGTTAAAATCACAAGTTTTACATTTTATATATATATATGGCTTCCCTGGTAAAGAATCTGCTTGCCAAGGCAGGAAATGCGAGTTCGATCCCTGGGTTGGGAAGATCTCCTGGAGAAGGAAATGACAACCCACTCCAGTACTCTTGCCTGGAGAATCCCATGGACAGAGGAGCCTGGTGGGCTATAGTCCATGAGGTTGCAAAGAGTCGGACACAACTTAGCAACTAGACAACAGGGTGTGTGTGTGTGAGATACCACAATCTTTTTTTTAAAGCCCCTCTGGCTGCCAGGGGGAGCCTGGGATGTGGGAGTGGAAGTTCTAGAGGGCAGCAGGGAAGGGATCAGGGCTCTTTGGTGAAAATAGGAATTCCCAGATCTGGAGGACAGATGCCAAGAATGGACAGACAGATGCTGGGCTGTTCTGGAGATGCAGACCCCAGACTTACTCTACTGAACTGGCTGTGGGGGTGAGGGAAGGGGAAACCCCAGATTTTGACTCCTGGGANAGTCGGACCCCAGACCCATGTTGGCCAGCCGTACCCAGAGCCTGGCATCCGGCAGCCTCTTCAGCGTTAACCAGACGCTAACCAGTTTAACTCCCTAAGGGGGCCAGAGGGAGAATGCTGACCAGTTAAACTCCCTAGGGGAGAGTCAGGGAGGGGAGCACCCATCAGCCTAGCATCAGTTCCCCACTCCACCCCGAGTCTGGAAGGTAGAAGATGGGGGTGGGAATGAGGTGATGCCCCCCTCTGTCGCCCCGGACCATGTAAAATTGTAGAATGCTGCAAAATGAAACTATCCAGGTCCACATCTGGACAGGGTTGTGGGATGAGAGAGATGGTTGTGGGCTGAGGAAGTAGAGGGGAGAGTTTGCTGAAGGCTGGGAGCTGGAGAGGGTCCTGGGGGTTGGAGTGGGGGAGTTGCACTGGGAAATTACTTTCCATTTTTCATGAGAGGAGACAGGCCTGGAGGGACATCCTGCCCCATGAGTGAGCTGCCCAAATCTTTATTTCCTGAGAAGCTGTGCTGAGTCCCTGCCCTCAACTGGCTCATGGTCTAGTGGGGAAGGCTGACAATAGACCTGCTTATACAAAAAGGTGATTTCAGGGCCTTCCCTGGTTGTCCAGTGGTTAAGACTCTGCGCTTCCACTGCAGGAGTCAAGGCTTCGATCCCTGGCCAGGGAACTGAGATCCCACAAGCTGCGCAGTGTGACCAAAATAAATAAAAATAAAATAAAAACAGGGCTAAAGGATGGCGAGCGAGGTTAGCAGGAGTGGTGGGGGCGGTCAGGGTAGGTTGCTCTGCTGGGGTGACCTTGAGGTTGAGCCTTGAATGATGAGAAGCTGCAGCAGGTGATGGGGGTGCTGGGAGAGTGTTGCAGGCAGAGGAGCAGCCCAGGCAAGGGCTCAGGCCGGAAGGAAGCTGGAGCTCCTAGGACCGGGAGGAGGGTTGGATTGGAGAACGTGATGGCACCAGGTCACCAGCAGCCCCTAGGTCCTGGTGAGGAACAGAGACCCCGGGGAGAGCAGAGGGGAGGTTAATACTCAGATTTACATCATTAAATGATGGCCTTAGCGCCGAGTGGAGGCAGCAAGGCTGGGAAGAGGAGGAGGCCAGGACAAGCCTCTGGGGGCAGCAGGATGGTGGCTTGGGCCTGGTGGTGGCCCTGGGAAGTGGGCAGATTGACAAGGTACTTTGGAGGGAGGCAGAGCCCATGGAACTTGGTGGAGGAGCTTATGAAGGGGAGGGGAGCAGAGGAGTTGTAACTGAGGAGGATTCCTAGGTTCAGGTTCTGAGACTGATTCAACGTGGAGAAGGGAATGGCAACCTACTCCAGTATTCTTGCCTGGGAAATCCCATGGACAGAGGAGCCTGGCAGGCTATAGTCCATGAGGTCACAAAGAGTTGGACGTGACTGAGCAACTGAACAACTGTTCAACATTCAGGCCTGTTGTGGAAGCAGGACCAAAACAGTGCAGTGATCTCTGCCTGTGGAGGGGCACATCCATTAAAAAAGAGAAATAGTTACATTTGAACCAAGGTCTAAAGGAGGCCAGGGAGCAGAGGAAGAAGCCCTGTGAATAACTGGCAGGCAGAAGATTCACCCGGAGGAAGTGACTAGTGCCAAGGCCCCGGGGCGGGGTCTGGGCTGCTTGAGGAGAGCAGGAGGCAGGAGTGGGGTCAGGGAGCCTACTGGGCTGGTCGACAGGCTTTCGGGAGTGAGGGTGGGGAGGAACCAGTCGTCAGGGCTCTCTTGTGAGATTCCAAACTGTAAATAAGAGGCTTGGAAAGTATGAGGTTGTCCCTGGTGTTGCGCCCATAGGACAGACTGGGGGGACGGGAGTAGAGGACAGACCAAGGGTTTGCGCACTAGAAGTGAAGTGAAAGGTGCTCAGTCATGTCCAACTCTTTGCGACCCCATGGACTCTGCAGTCCATGGAATTCTCCGGGCCAGAATACTGCAGTGGGTAGCCTTTCCCTTCTCCAGCGGATCTTCCCGACCGAGGGATCGAACCCAGGTCTCCCGCATTGCAGGTAGATTCTTTACCAACTGAGCTATCAGGGAATGAGAGCCGGTTAAAACATGGGGTGCTGGAATCTGCCTGGTGGTCTAGTGATTAATAATCAGCCTTGCAATGCAGGGGGTGCAGATTCGATCCCTGGTGGGGGAACTAAGATCGCACATGCCACAAAGCAACTACACCCACGCCCTGCAACTACTGAGCTGGTGAACCACAACTAAGAATGCAGCCAAGTAAATAAAAGAGAAACTATTTTAAAAAAAAAGAAACATGGGTGCTGACCTTCCTCAGAGAAGGTACATTTCTAGCAAGGTCGTGTCCAGGCTGCTGCCCCTGGACTAGGGTCATGCTTGGAGAACCAGGGTGTAGATGAAGCAAAGGACCAGGCGTGGAGATCTGGGTGTCCCATCTTGACAGTATCCCGGGGGAGACAGAAGCAGTGAGAAGAGGAGAGGCTGGAAGGGAGAAAAAGTGGTCAGAACCTGGCTCTGTGCCCTCAAAGCCGCTGTGCCCGGGGAAGGCAGACTGGGGAAGGGGAGGGCTAGCATGGGAGGACACAACTCCCACCCCTCTTCCAGCTTCCCCAGCTCCCCCAGGGGCTGCACACGCCCCTCACCCCGCCTGCCTGTCTCCAGCTCACCCTGAGGGTCCCCCCGAGAGGAAAGAGGGGACTTAGTCGTCCCTGGTCCCTGATCTGTGGCGCCAGCCAGCTGGATTCTAATTAACTTCCAGAGCCAGAGAGACAGGAAGCCAAGGGGCTGGGGGTGGGGCCCTGGACTCCTGCCCAAGACCGGGAGGCTGCAGGTCCGGGCCAAGACGCCTGGGTCCCCCACCCTGGACACCGTGCTGGATGAGGAAGCTGGGCTAGGGGAGACAAACTGGCAGGGTCTCGATTTCAAGAGGCTTCCAGAGGGTTCTCCTCTGGGATGGAGGTGGGCTGCCTGGGTGCAGGTGGGCTCTTCTTAGCTGGCACTGCCCGAAGAATTACCCTAGCCACCTGGAGAAGGGGGGCTGGCAGACCCCAGGAGGTGCTTCTGGGAGATCCAAGGTGCCCAAATGGGTGGGTCCACCTGTTGGGGTGGTGATGGGTGTACAACATGAGCCAGAGGCCTTGGAGGGGTCAGCCTCTGGCCCAGGGGTGCTGGCTTGAGGGAGGTTCATTGACCCAGCCCTCTCGGGGTGGCGAGCTAGAGGCCCTCGGGCACCTGCAGAAAGAGAGGGGACCTGCCCTCCTCCTCGGCCCACCCCTGTCCCCCGCCTCACTCTCCCTGTCCTCCACAGGCTGGTGGACCAGGCCGCGGTGCCCACCTGGTGATGCAGGGCGGGGCCCCCTGCACAGCCCACTGAGAGCCGAGCACGCACCCCTGGCCGCCACCATGGCCCGCCTGGCCGCTGCGCTCTGGAGTCTCTGTGTCACAGCCATCCTCGTCACCTCAGCCACCCAAGGTAGGTGTTGAGGGGGCCGAGGCAGGGGAGGGGGGAGGAAACCCCGAAATACCCCCGACCAGGGCTCCCCTGGTGGCTCAGCAGTAAATAACCTGCCTGCCAATGCAGGAGACCTGGGTTTGATCCCTGGGTTGAGAATATTCCCCTGGAGGAGGGCATGGGAACCCACTTTTTGCCTGGAGAATCCCATGGACAGAGGAGCCTGGTAGGCCCCGGTCCGTAGGGTGGTAAAAGAGGGGGACATGACTTAGTGACTCAACAACCACAACCTCCTGATCCCTTGTTAGAGAATCAGGCCCCCACCCAGCCTCAGTCTGGCAGAATTGGAGCAGATGAAGGCTTGGTGATCACACACCCTGATTCAAGAGGTCCCCAAATCAGCCCCTCACCTCCCAGCCCAGAGCTCCCGGGCTCGTCCCACCTGCGGTCCTAGAGCCTGGGATTTGGGCTGTGGCCTCCAGGACCAGGACCGGTCTTCCTGGTGAGACGATGCCCTTCTGTCTCTTGTGTGTGTGCGCGTCTCTCTGTGATTACATCTCCGAGGCTCTCGCTGGGAAGAAGGCTTAATTAAAGCATGCCCGCTGACGTTTATTTAAAAACAACTAATTATCCAGCTCGGCCCTATGCCGGCCCCGGGATCCCGCACACGCCACAATTAGTGCCCGGAGCCTGCCCGCCCACCCTCACCCGATTACTCAATTACTGTCCCCACGGTGGGCCCAGGCGGGGGCAAGGGCAGCGCGCGATGAGAGGCAGAGAGAGGAGGCCCGCTGGCCTCGCCCTCGCCCTAGGGGTGCCCCCTGCCCCACCCTTCCCAGCCCTGTCTGGAGGCCGCTGGTGGTGGGCCCTGCTCCCCAGCGCTCCCTCACACAGAGAGCCTCAAAGGTAGAGGGGGCGTCGTTCAGCCGTGCCACCAGGCCTTGGCACTGCTCCGGCCAGCTGGCGCCCTCCGCTCCCGCAGCACCCGCGTTCTCTACCCATCCAGGTCCTGCCCCACAGCCCCAGCTGGGCTGGGCGGGGCTGCTTCCACCCCCAGACCCATCTGAGCCATCTGAGCCAGCCCTCCACCCCCAGCCTCCTTCCCAGGCCCAGGAAGGACTAAAATTAGACGTGGGAGCAGATGGCGCTGGAGGAATCAGCCCCTCACCTCCCAGCCCAGAGCTCCCAGGCTCGTCCCACCTGCGGTCCTAGAGCCTGGGATTTGGGCTGTGGCCTCCAGGACCAGGACCGGTCTTCCTGGTGAGACGATGCCCTTCTGTCTCTTGTGTGTGTGCGCGTCTCTCTGTGATTACATCTCCGAGGCTCTCGCTGGGAAGAAGGCTTAATTAAAGCATGCCCGCTGACGTTTATTTAAAAACAACTAATTATCCAGCTCGGCCCTATGCCGGCCCCGGGATCCCGCACACGCCACAATTAGTGCCCAGAGCCTGCCCGCCCACCCTCGCCCGATTACTCAATTACTGTCCCCACGGTGGGCCCAGGCGGGGGCAAGGGCAGCGCGCGATGAGAGGCAGAGAGAGGAGGCCCGCTGGCCTCGCCCTCGCCCTAGGGGTGCCCCCTGCCCCACCCTTCCCAGCCCTGTCTGGAGGCCGCTGGTGGTGGGCCCTGCTCCCCAGCGCTCCCTCACACAGAGAGCCTCAAAGGTAGAGGGGGCGTCGTTCAGCCATGCCACCAGGCCTTGGCACTGCTCCGGCCAGCTGGCGCCCTCTGCTCCCACAGCACCCGCGTTCTCTACCCGTCCAGGTCCTGCCCCACAGCCCCAGCTGGGCTGGGCGGGGCTGCTTCCACCCCCAGACCCATCTGAGCCATCTGAGCCAGCCCTCCACCCCCAGCCTCCTTCCCAGGCCCAGGAAGGACTAAAATTAGACGTGGGAGCAGATGGCGCTGGAGGAACACATGTAAAACTTTTTCCCAAGTGGGACTCAACTCACCCCAAAAAACCCCTAGGGCCTGGCTGCCAACCCCGTTGGGCCCCCAGCTGGCATCAGAGGGACTAGATCACAGCAAAGGGGGCCCGTCTGTCTCTGCTGCCAATGTGCAGTGGGACTTTCTCTTGATCCGCCAGTGACAGTCTCCACGTTGGAGGCTTGGGACCACTCTGTGCATCCCTGCTTCCCTCGGACCCCCAGCATAGGCCTGGCTGGGACCGGTGTGCAAGAAGGTGGCTGCCCCGGCAGGCGTGGATGATGCTGAGCCCACTCTGTCCCACAGAGACGAGCTGCCTTAATCATCCTCCTGACAGTAGTAATCAGGGGCCTGTCTGCTCACTGCAGACCAGTTCCACTGCACCCCCTCAGCAGAGGCCCGTGGGATAGGCGTTGTCGACTCCCTAGAGAAGGAGTAAGGGCCCAGGGGTGGTCAGTGAGTACATTAACCCACCAGCCAGGGAGTGGCTGCGCTGGGATCTAAACCCCAGACCTGGCTCCTGAGTCCCAGCTTGCAGTCCCTGAAAGGCATAGGAAGGGAGCTGACATGTGACAATGCAACCCCTCCCAGAGCCCGGCATGCCTGTGGCAGGTTCTTCCATTGTCATGGCAACCCTAGGAAGTGTCCCAAGTGAAAGCCAGGGGCCCCCTCCCTGGGATGCCCTCACTGTCCACAGCACCTGCTTCAAGAACATCTTCTAGCACAGAAGCCTCCCAGTACAGCCCTGGGCTGTGGTTTGCCCATTTTACAGATCCAAAAACTGAGGCCTGGCGAGGCGCCAGAAGCAGCTGACCAAACAAGAGTGTGCATGAGAATCACGGGTGGGTATACCCATTCACCCCCAAGATTCAGGATCAGCAGGCCAGGGTCTGGGGGCACTCAGAATCTGCATTCCGAACACAATGCAGATATGCCCGGGGCCACACTGGGAGAAACCCTGGCCCAAAGGACCCACCTGGCCTGTCAGCTGGGAAGTAGCAAAGCCAGGCTCTGTGGTTTCTTCCAGAACATTGAGGACATTCCCTTCTACACCCTCCCTGCTCTCTGCATGGGGGTGGTGCAAAGTTAGAGAAGTGCCCCAGGCCACTCTCAGCTTTGAAGATTTGCCTGAAGGATTCATAAAATTCACAAACACCATTATTGCTGTTTACTCACTCAGTCGTGTCTGACTCTTTGGGGACCCCATGGACTGTAGCTCGCCAGACTTTGCCACTGAACCACGAGGGAAGACCGTCCCTTGCGGTTATAGTTGATTACTGGTGGCTCAGATTGTAAAGATTCCTCCTGCCAATGCGGGAGACCCAGGTTTGATTCCTTGGTTGGGAAGATACCCTGGAGAAGGAAATGGCAGCCCACTCCAGTATTCTTGCCTGGGAAATCCCACGAACAGAGGAGTTTGGCAGGCTACAGTCCATGGGGTCACAAAAGATTCGGACATGACGTAATGACTAAACAACAACGTAGCTGACTACAGTGAACTGATACAGATGAAAATCAGCCAAGAGAAGAGGGGCATGGGGCAACACCAGGAAAAGTTCTGTGCATGGGGGTTCTGGTGGTTCCCTCCCAGGGCAGACAGCAACGATGAGCCACACCACGCATGTTATACTGCTAACTGGGGAAGCTCTTCTGAGCCTTGGTGTCCAGAGTCTTTTACTGAGGCTCAGTCACATAGACATGGCTGGCCTCAATCTCCAGCCCCTCCAGAGGTCAACTGATGCATGACCCAAAACGCCTACCTGAAACCTCATTGTTAGTGAACTAACTATTAATAGTTTGCTAGGACCGTCCTGACCAAGTACCACAGACTGAGGGGTATTCCCTCCCAGTTCTAGATGTCCCAGATCAAGGTGTCAGCAAGGTTGGTTCCTTCTGAAGGCCACCGGGCTCTATTCTAGGTCCTTCTGCTTGGCTCATAGATGGTCATCATTTTCCTCCCTGCATCTCCATGTTGTCTTTCCCTCTTTGTGTGCCTCTGGGCCCAAATTTCCTCTTTTTATAAGAACACCGTATTGGATTTGTTGTTGCTGTTCAGTAGCTCAATCACGTCTGACTCTTTGCAACCCTATGGACTGAAGCACACCAGGCTTCCCTGTCCTTCACCATCTCCCGGAGTTTGCTCACACTCATGTCCATCGAGTTGGTGATACCATCCAACCATGGCATCCTCTGTCAACCCCTTCTCCTTCTGCCTTCGATCTTTCCCAGCGTCGGGATCTTCTCCAGTGAGTCAGCTCTTTGCATCAGGTGGCCAAAGTATTGGAGCTTCAGCTTCAACCTCAGTACTTCCAATGAGTATTCAGGGTTGATTTCCTTAGGGTTGACTGGTTTGATCTCCTTGCTGTCCAAGGAACTCACAAGAGTCTTCTCCAACACCAGTCTGAAAGCTTCAATTCTTCAGCATTCATATTGGATTCGGGCCCACCTTAGTGGCCTCATTTTAACTTGAGTACCTCTGTAAAGATGCTGTCTCTAAATCTGCCCGTATTCTAAGGCAGGGGTCCCTAGCTTCTGGGCCGCAGACCAGTAGTTGTCCATGGTCTATTCGGAATCAGGCTGCAGAGCAGGAGGTGAGAGGTGGACCAGCAAGTGAAGCTTTATCTGTATTTACAGCTGCTCCCCATCATTTGCGTTACCACATGAGCTCCGCCTCCTGTCAGATCAGCAGTGGCATCAATACTCTTACAGGAGCATGAACCCTACTGTGAACTGTGCATTCAAGAGGTCTAGGTTGCACGCTCCTTATGAGAAACATCCCCAAACAATCCTCCCCATACCCCTGTCCATGGAAAAAATTGTCTTCCATGAAACCAGTCCCTGGTGCCAAAAAGGTTGGGGACCGCTGTTCTAAGATATTTGGGGTTAGGGCTTGATTTCAGCATTTGAATTGGTGGAGGGGGGAAGACCTGATTTAATCCATTAACAGTTCACACAGGCTACTCTGGCATGGCTCCAGGCCCCCAAGTAACTCTTCTCACAAAGGACACTACAAGGGCTCACAGGGCACGTCCCAGGAGCCAGACTCTTTTTGGGCTGGGCTAATGGCCTTACTACACAGTAGGTGCACCGAGAAGCCCATTTCACAGATGAGTAAACTGAGGTTCATACAGCCCGCAGCCCGATACAGTCAAGCTGGAGGTGGAGTCTCTTCAGTGGGGGTCTGTCCCACCCCTCCTGGGCCTGGTGGTGACCGACTCCCTCCCCCTTCTCCCTACAGGCCTGAGCCGGGCTGGGCTCCCATTTGGGCTGATGCGCCGGGAGCTGGCATGTGAAGGCTACCCCATCGAGCTGCGGTGCCCGGGCAGCGACGTCATCATGGTGGAGAACGCCAACTATGGGCGCACAGACGACAAGATCTGCGACGCCGACCCTTTCCAGATGGAGAACGTGCAGTGTTACCTGCCGGACGCCTTCAAGATCATGTCCCAGAGGTGAGGGGCTCCAGGAGAAAGGGGTGGCAGCAGTCCCGAGGGTCCCCAAATAAGGTGGCTGTCCTCTGCGCACCCCATGACCAGCGCACCCTTTCCCCTTCACCCTTCCTTGTAGGCATTCGCCATGTTTCCTGAGCAACTACTAGGGGCCGGGTGCCACGCAAACAGCCAGTAGGACCCAGCCCACCCCCCGCCAGCCTATCACCTCCCCAAGCTCTACCCTTCGCCAAAAGCCCGTGGCCTCCAGATGCTCATCCCAAGATTAGCGGGGGCTTGCAAGTAAGAGCCATGGCAGGACAGGGGGAGGTGTCAGAGGAGCTGAGGGATAGCCCAGAGGGCTTCCCTGAGGAGGTGACATCTGAACATGGACGGCAGAAGGTTATGTGCTTGTGTCAGAGGTGTGTGAGAATGTGAGGGAGTGAGTGAGTATGAAGACTGTTCCTTTCTGTAAGTGCGTGTTTGAGTCGGGGGGGTGTACAAAGCTACACACTCAAGCCAGACCACCTGGAGCTAGTCAGCTCTTCCTTCAGATTTTACCCAGATTTAGGACTTCCCTGGTGGTCCAGTGGTTAAGAATCCCCCTGCCAGTGCAGGGGACACGGGTTCGATCCCTGGTCCAGGAAGATCCCGCATGCCATGGGGCAGTTAATGCCGTGTGCCACAACTACTGAAGCCCGTGCGCCTAGAGCCTGTGCTGTGCTCTATAACAAGAGAAGCCACCGCAATGAGAAGCCTGAGCCCCACAACTAGAGAGTAGCACCCATTGCCGCAACTAGAGAAAGCTAGCACACCGCAATGAAGACCCAGTGCAGCCAAATTTAAAAAAAATTTTTTTTTTAACCCAGATTGATTGTGCTTCCGCACCAACCCCCCCATGGCTGCTTAGAGCCTCCTCTGCCCCTTCTCCTTGCCTTCTCTTGCCTGCCTGCTATAGTCTGTTCCCGCCATAGCAGCCAGAGAGCGCTTATGAGCACTTGAGTCAGGTTCTGCCCTCCTATCAGATCCCTCCTTGGTGCCCACCTCACTCAGAGCAAAAGCCTAAGTCCTCCTCAGGTCCACAAGGCCCTGGACACTCCGCAGCGTCCTCTCTAGTCCTCACCCTCTCCATGCTCCTCCTCACTGGGTTTCAGTTACCTGGCCACTCCTTACACTCATCACCCATCTTCTGCTAGGGCCTCGGGACCTTTTGTGTTGGCTGTTCCCCCTGTCTGGAATGCTCTTCCCCAAAACCCACGTGACTCCTTCCTGCCCTTACTCAGGTTCTTTCATTTGAATTATGTTTTTTGCTGCACCCCGCTACTAGCACGTGGGATCTTATTTACTCGACCAGGAATTAAACCCACGCCCCTCTGCATTAAAAGCACAGAGTCTTAACCGCTGGACTGCCAGAGAAGTCCCCCATTCAGGGATTTTTTTTTTTTTTTTTTTTTTGCCTGACTAGCCTCTTAATGAGGTCTACCTGGCCACACTGTAAAATCACAGTGCCCTCGCCCCACTTGCCAGCCCCTTCCCTGTTTCTCTCTCTCCTAGTCCTGACTTCTGCCCACAGTTCCATTGGCTACATTGCCTCTTTATCATGTCTCCCTTGTGTCTTCCCTCCCTGGGCTGTCAGCCCCACAGGGAAAAGGCATGCTGTCTGTCACCACCGTGTCCACAGCCAGCTACACTGCAGGCACTCACTGAGTTTTTGCCAACTGCCTGAGAGAGAGCAGGGTTCACTCCAGGACCCTGAGCAGAAAGCTAGAAAAGGGAAGGAGGCCTGGGGGCCAGCTCCACAGCTCCTCGGGGATTCTAGAATACCTCACTGGATGGGGTCATCAGAAGCCCTCTGAGAGCTTGGGGCAGGGAATGGCTGTGGTCAGGTGGCTCAGGTAGGTGGGCTGGACTGGAATCACTTCATTCACTCCCTTCCACCATTTCTTTCTCAAACATCTACTCTCGAGATATCCCTGGTGGTCCAGTGGTTAAGGCTCTGAGCTTCCACTGCATGGGGCATGGGTTTTATCCCTGGTCAGGGGCTTCCCAGGTGGTGCTAGTGGTAAAGAACCCACCAGCCAATGCAGGAGACACAAGAGACACGGGTTCAATCCCTGGGTTGGGAAGACCCCCTGGAGGAGGACACAGCAACCCACTCCAGTATTCTTTGGGGACTTCCCTGGTAGCTCAGACAGTAAAGAATCTGCCTGCAATGCAGGAGACCTGAGTTCAGTCTCTGGGTCGGGAAGATCCCTGGAGAGGGGAATGGCTGCCCACTCCAGTATTCTTGCCTGGAGAATCCCCATGGACAGAGGAGCCTGATGGACTATACTACCTAGAGTCACATAGAATAAGACACAACTTAGCACAGAGAAATAAGGTCCACGTGCCTTGTGCTCATGGCAAAAAAAACTATTTCCCTGCAGCGATCTTCTTCTTCCCTAATTTTCATCTCCCAACACCCCTGCATGGACCATCCCAGTCCAGCCTCCCTTTTCTCCTACCCACTGCCTCTCCAGATTCTCCCTGCCTGCTTCACTCAGACCAGCCTCGGGGTCTGTGATTTTTTCCGCCATCTCCCCAAGTTGCTTTCACAGAAACTCGCCTAGTTTCCAACACTCATGGGGTCTCAGTTCTGGGGTAGGGGGGTGGGGGACACAGTAGTGCAGTCACTGGGGCCGAGGGAACGTGATGAGGCCACTGCCCCACCATCTTCACACATGGAGACTACGTTAGTTCAGGGTCCAGCTCTGTGACTCTGACAGAGACACCCCAGAGTAAGCACAGTGACCTAAACAGGATCGGCTTCCCAGGTGAGGCTAGAGGTAAAGAACCTGCCTGCCAATGCAGGAGATGTAAGAGACGCAGTTTCTATCCCTGGGTTGGGGAAATCCCCTTGAGGAGGGCATGGCGACCCACTCCAGTAGTCTTGCCTGGAGAGTCCTATGGACAGGGGAGCCTGGGGGGTTACAGTCCACAGGATTGTGTAGAGTTTGACACGACTGAAGTGACTTAGCTCACGCACAGAATCAGAATTGAAAAGACCCTCAGCACCTGCTTCTGTCTTAGTACTGAAACCCTGCCCCCCACTTCCACCCTGGGGCCAGTCCCTTAAAGGCTGTATCATACCCACTCTCACCTCCCAGGTTAGAACTCAGTCACAGGCACTTCCCAGCAGCGGAGGCTGGACATGCGGTTTTTCCAGGAAGGCCAGCATTTCTATGTTTCTCTTTTTGTTTTCATGGAGGCGAAATCCACATAACAAAAGATTCACCATTTGAAAGTGAACAGTTCAGTGGCATTAATTACATTCACGATATTGTGCAGTCCTGCCTCTGTCAAGTTCCAGAACATTTTCATCACCTCAAAAGGAAACTCCGTCACCCTGAGCAGTTACTCCCCATCCCTCTCCCCTCCCCTGAGCCTCTGGCAACCACTCATCTACTTTCTGTCTCTGGATTTGCCTGTTTTGGACATTTCATATAAATAGAACTGTGAAACACGTGGCCTCTGGGGCTGGCTTCTTTCACTGAGCGTGATGTTTTCAAGGCTCATCCATGGTGTAGTATTAGAGCTTCCTTCCTTTTTTATGGCTGAATAATACTCCATTGTGTGGATAAGCTGTGTTCCGTTTATCCACTCATTCGTCAGTGGGTTGTCTCTACCTTTTGGTGATTGTGTGAATGATGCTGCTGTGAACATTCACATACAAGCATTTGTATACAAATATACCTTCAGGGTTGCAGTAGATGAATGCACCTGCTTTCAGTTCTTTGGGGAATAGAACTAGTTCTTTGGTTCATAGGTAACGAAGTCTCTGTTTAACCATCTGAGCTCAGTGTTATATATATTTTTTAATTTATTTATTTTTAATTGAAGGATAATTGCTTTACAATATTGTGTTGGTTTCTGCCATACATCAACATGCATCAGCCATAAGTATACATATGTCCCCTCCCTCTTGAACCTCCCATCAGTGTTATATTTTTGAACAAAGGAGTTGAGGGGTGGGGGTATGAGGAGATGCTCATGAGTTAAGCACTCATTGGTTAGGAGCAGGACTGAAGTGAAGACACAGGAGCCCCCTCTGCCCCATACCTGTCAGGAAGCCCCCGCACCAAACCACTTCTTACACACCCACAGTCAAGTTGCTGTCCTGCCCAGCCAAGACTCGGCCTGCTCCAGGAAATGGAGACCTTGACCGTGGGTATAGACAGCAGAGAAGAAACATCTTTTTGTTGTTGCTAAGTAGACTTCCCATTACATGGTAGCCAGACTCCTGAGAAGTTGACAGGGACTTGGGGGAGTTCCGCATGGGGAACCGAGGATGGTTTCAGCATGAAGGGACAACTCTGCCCCTCTCTGGCCGCAGAGCCTCATGGCAGCTCTGTCCAAAAGTGGGACATATCAAGACGTGGTATGAGGCGGCAAACACTGAGCATTCCATCAGTAGCATGTTCACAAAGATAACCACCTTATATGTATGGCTTCACATCTTATTGAACAAACAACAAGTTTTATGGTCAATTTATGGGGGAAAAAAAGACATAATGGCACAGGTGACACTCAGGATGAAAGTGATGAAGGGTGACGAAAAACAGCTTATGGAGTGACCCCTCTGGCATAGCCCTGAGCTTCCTGCTGTGCCAGGCCTGAAAATAGAAGAATCCTATCTGGAAGGAGAGAGCAGACAGGAAACGGAAAACAACACCCACATAAGGCCCTTGGCATGGTCTCCATGGTTCCTTCCCAATGTGGAGATGTCCATTCCTCTCCTGACCCTGGGCTTCCCCTGCCCAGTTCCAGGCTCGTCTTTTCCCAACCCCCCCATCTCTTCTCCACAGGTGTAACAACCGCACCCAGTGTGTGGTGGTCGCTGGCTCCGACGCCTTTCCGGACCCCTGCCCCGGGACCTACAAGTACCTGGAGGTGCAGTACGACTGTGTCCCCTACAGTGAGTCATCTTGTTCCTCATGCGACACGGGCCCTTCCCTCTCCCAGAAGCAAGTGAGGAGGAGACACCTTGAACACACACACACACACACACACACACACACACACACACAAGGCCCATTTGGGGCCAGGAACACAAGGGATGGCTGGACCTGCTCCCTCCCTCACAGACACCCTTGTCCACACTGCTGTCTGCCCCACCCCACCCCCACCCTTGACTCTGTCCCCATCCACTGGACACCTTCTCCAACTCTTTTTACTCTGGTCTGCTCACCCTGCTTCTTCACCTGCCCTTGGCTTATTTATACACTTCAAGGCACACTTGTCTCTCCTCTCCCCGGGCCTTGAGCTCACTGCCGTCTAATTCCTCTTCCCCCGCTCTTCCCACATCCCTTCCCTTCCTGACCACCTTTTACACACATGCTCTTCCCTCTAACCCCACTTCCTCTCGGCTCCCTCTCTTTTCTCTCATCCTTCTCACTCCTCACAGGCCCCCACTCCTGCCCCTTCCCAATCCTGGAAGCTGGACATTATACCCATAGAGAGGCAGGTCACCCTCTGAGGCCTGGCAACAGTTCTCATGTGAAGGGCTAGGGACGTCTTCCACAAATTCCTAACTCTTGGTTGGTTTGCTTATTAGCATGCTAGTACTTCCTGTCTGCACAGGAAGTGCTGCCATGTTGGACTGAGGGTGGCACCCAAGCATCCTGAGGAAGGTGATCTGGGGAGCCAGGGGCCTGCCATTCTTGCACCCGACCAAAGGAAGCAAACCATGGACAGGGTCTCTCCTCCTCAGCACCCCCCCCTTAACATGGCCCTTCTTTCCAGCCCTCATGCTTCCCCCCCCTTCCCCATCATCCATTCCCTCCTCTCCACCCCCAGCTTCACGTAGTCAACCTGGAGGTAGGGCCCTCTGGGCAGAGGGGGGAGGAGGCAGGGCCGCCAGGGTGTCTTGAGTGTGGGGGGCAGGGGCGGGGGAGCAGGAGGCCCTGTGACTCTCCCTCCTCTCCCCTCCCACCCCAGCCTTCCCCCCAACCCCCAACCTTTGATTTCTCCTCGCAGGTGACACAGACGTGCTGGGGGAGATAGGAGCCTCATGTGCTTCCATAGCTTTCTTCTTTTACTCCTTACCCTTTCCTTTCAGCAACGGAGGCCTCCAGTCATCGCCTGAGGGGGACGCCCATCTGATCCTTGAAGCCTCCCCACAGCACTGGGGACACTGCCCACCCCCTGTGGGCTGGGCCAGCAGGGGAAGGGGGACAAGAGTTGGGGAGCACAGCACAGTGGAAAAATCTAGACTGGGTTCGAGGTTCAGCCACAGCCCTTGGGTTTTCTGGCTCGGAAACTGGAGCAAAAGACTTACATTTCTCTGGGCTGCTGCAGAAGGAAGCGAGAGTCCTGGAGGTCATGTGTGCAAGGCGCCCAGCCCAGGGCCCGCCACAGAGCCCACTTGTGGTGGCAAAGTGCTGGATGTAAACTCCCCCCACAGGGCAGAGACCTCATCTTCAACCCCCTCCCCAGCGCCCAGACCCAAGCCTGGTTCAGGATGTGCTCAGTAATGGTTTGTGTGCCCTTTCAATCCAGTTGAGCCTATACCTTCCTCTGTGATGATGGGAGGGGATCAAACACCTCTGAGATGCTGCCAGGACTGTGGAGAACATGGGTAAAAGCTCTTTGTGCACCCCCAGCCGTAGATGTGAAGGAAACTGCACCCATTTTGTCAGTCGTGTTGCTTCACTTCATTAAACCTGTTTCCTCATCTATAGACAAGATTGTTGAAATGCTGCCAGAGGGGTGCTTAGCACGGTTCCTGTCACCTAATAAGTGCTGAGCACTTAGTAGTTGTTGCTTTTCTTCTGACCACTCACCATGACTTTTACCAATTATTATTGCTATAGGTAATCAAAAATAAAACTAACACCAGATGACAAACCCAGTTTCTCTTGAGACCAGCAAGATAAAAAGCAGGGGGAAAAAATCTCCTGGTCCAAGTGGCGTCCAAAAGCAAGTGGGAAAAAAAAAACAAAAACCAAATGAGTGGATACCATGCAGGTAAAGAAGCAGGGAAGAGGTGTAGAGGCTTCCTGGAGCTGAACCTCTCAGTGTGGGTGGGAGGGCATGACCCATAGAGACCGGAGGGCTCAGGGAACGGGCAGCCCCCAGTCTGATGGGAGAGAGCTGCCTTGAGCCCTGGGAGAGGCAGAGGCACACACGCTTGGGTGCGCGTGCACTCACACTCTCTCACACTCACACTCACAGTCACTGATACGGAGGATGTATCTGGGGGGCTGGGCTAACTCCTGGTCCCAGAAGAGGGCTGGCATTCCAAGGGTGATGGAAGCCAGGCCCCCGAACAGGGAGGCCTGGCACTCAGTCATCCCCAGACCTTTCTTTCTCTGAGCACCTCCTGTGTACCAGGCCCTGGGAGAGGCGCTGGGAAGGGAGTCAGACACTGCCCCTCCCGACAGACAGGTGGCAGGAGAGTGAGGCCCTGGTCAGAGGTTCCTAAGGGGCCGGGGGGGCCCAAAGCCTGGAGGGGGCACAGCCTGGGCAGCCCCTCTTGCCATGGGCTTCAGAGGCTGGGGTGACCCCAGTGCTGGTCGGGGTGGGAGCCGCGGGTGTGTGGGGCACCCCCTCCCCTGGCACACGAACCTGACAGGCCCGACTAACGCTGGATTTGCTTTGCAGCTGAGCACAGTCTAACCCGTGCCCCCTTCCTCCCCAGGTGCTGCCCGCCTGCCCATCCCAGCCGCGGGCTGGGGAGCTCCCAGCTCCTGGGCCCCCAGGGGGGAGCTGGGCAGAGAAACTGAGCCTCGGGCTTGCCCCCGGGGGAGCGGGGGAGCGTGTCTGTGCCCCCACCTGCTGTCCTGCCCCGTCTGTGATGTCCCCCCCACCCCAGCCTCTTCCCTCTCTGCCTCGTCTCCCCCACGGGGCTCTTGGAGGCCCCCAGGGCTCCGCCCATCTGCCTCTCCATCATTCTGTGTCCGACGCTGCCACCCTCTCTCTGTGTTGGCTTCCGGGGTGGGGGTGGGGTTCCGAGGGTTTTGGGGAAACTCAGCTGGACTCTTTTTAAGGCCAGCACAGAAGGGGAGGGCGTTCTGCGTGTTTTCTCTGTGGTGCTCCCAGGCTGAGGGAGGCACTGAATGCCCTCCTGGGCCCCCGGTTCTAGCAGGAGGGCAGCAGGCAGGGCTGGAGGGGACCAAGGGGATCCTCCACCCCCCCACCATCCCTTCCTGGTGCCCCCCCCCAGGGGAGCTGCCTCCCAGCTGGGGCTCCCCCTCCCCAGCCTTGCTGCACTGAGGGTGCCCCTTCCGGTCTGAGGGCTCTGTCCGTCTGCCTACCTGTATACCCCCTCTCCCTACCCCACCCCATGTCTCTCTTGGTCTCTGCCCTCCCGTGTGTCTCCCTCCTCCCTGTGACTGTCTCCCCGACATCCTCCTAGGAGGAAAGGACGTGGGGGCGGGGGCTGACGCTACCTTCGGGGTTGGGGAACCAGGAGTGAGGAAAAGAAAGGAAAAGGGGGCGTGTTGCCAGAAAAGAAACGAAAGCAATTTAATCTTTTTTTTTTTCTCTTTTTTTCTTGCACATTTTTTTTTTCAATTTGTTTTCTCTCTCTCTTCCGATGCTTAAAGTAGAAGTGGAGCAGAAAGGTAAACGCACTGTTACCAATGCTAACCCCTAACTCAGACTTTGTTTTACCTGTACCACACTTATGTGACCTGCCCTCCCCTCCAGCCCCTTCTTCTACCCCCCCACCCCCCAACTTGGTCCAGTCCGTTCCCCCCAACCCCCGGTGTCCCCCCCCTGGTGGGGCCAGCCCTGGTGCGACTGGGCAACCCCACCCTCCAGACACCCAAGGGAGCTTCTCTGAGCTCGGGCAGGACCTTCTGCTCTCTCTGCCTGTCTCTCTCTCTCCTCTCACTCTGTCTCTCTCTCCCTGTCCCTCCCTTCTAGTCCCTGGCCCTTGCAGGGGTGGGGGGAACCTGACCTTCTCTCATACTTCTTTTGCCTCCTTCAGGAGAAGTCTATAAGCATCCAGGGTGGGTGGGGAGGGAGGGACCCTCTTCCCTGGCTCCCGACTGGGGGCAGAGGGCACCGGGGGAGCCGTCTGTCTTCTTTTTTCTTCCTGCCCCAACTTTTGTGTCTGGTTCAGGGGAGGCGGGAGGGAGGGGACACCTTTGTTTTCCTTTTGGGGAGCAGATTACCTCCTCCTTCTCCTCCTCCTCTCTCTCTTTCTCTCTCTCTCTCTCTCTTTCCCTCTCTGGCTCCTGGTGGTTTAAGTTCCTTCTGGTTTGGCGTTTCCAAGGCCCAGAGCTGTTTCGGAGCACGGAGCACCAGTTTTCCCCACCCCCACCCCCATCCTCCACCAGTGGGGGGTGGTGGGGGGCAGCCCCTGGGGAGAGGGGTGTGAGTTGCCCCCAGCCCGGGGAGGGCACCTGCCAGATCACTGGGGGGCCGAGTGGGTGGGGGGGGCGGGCCTCACGGTTGGGGGAGCGAGGGGCGGGGGAGCGTTGTTTTGTTTTTTTTTTCCCTTTGGTTCTGAAATACTTGCGAAGCTGCAGTCAGGGTTTCTTCTGGGCTGTTGTGGTTAGAGGACCAGAGAGAGGGGGGCGGGGGAGGCACAGGCTGGGCCTGGGGGCTTCCGTGAGCACCGTAATTTCTTCCTTCAGCAGTGGAGGAGAGGACTCCACAGCGGGCAGGGAGGGTGGCTGGGCCAGGCTTGGCTGTCGGGGAGGGTCACTGCCTCCCCTGAAAGTCATGGGAAATGGACAGCTCTGAGGCGGGGAGGGGAGAGATGACCTTTCAGGATCACGTTGGCCTTGAAATTACGGTGGTCAGTGGAGCGTCCCCTTTGAGGGAGGCAGGGCGGGGTCCCTCCGAGCTGCTCCCCTCCCCCTTGTCCCTTCCCCCATCTCATAGAGGCCTGGGCCACCAGCCCACCGCCCTGCCCCTCACTGCACCCCACCACTCTCTCCCTCTCTCTTTCCTGGAGTCTTTCCGCCCAGCACCAGACACTCTTCTTGCAGGCCCGGTGGTGGTCGGACACGCAGCCTGGGATCTTTTCTCTTCAAGGGATGGGTGGGAGGAGGCTGGAGGGCAGAGAAGGCTTTGGGAGCTTGGTGCTGGGTCAGGCTCCTTGCTGGCAAAGGCCCCAAGCAGGCCCTTCCTCATCTTCTCCCCCTCCCCCCAGGGTAACCTCTAACCACGTTTTCCTTCTCCATGCCCTGCCCACCAGGCTGGGCTCTGAGACCTCCCACTGCCCACTCCCACTCACCCCCCACACACAAACCCATCTGCTCAGACATCACAGAGCTGGCTGGGGGGCCCGGCTTGGGGAGAGGGAAGACCCAGGCCCAGGAGAAAAGGGCAGAGGCCAGTGGGCTGGACAGAAGGTGCAGGCTAACCCCTCAGGGCACTGGGAACACAGTGCTGGAGCCCCAGGCTTCCCTCCCCCTCTAAAGCAGGGCATGCGCCTGGCTGCTTTGTGACCCAAGACCCCTGGATCAAAATGTCCCTGATACTGTGGAGGGAGGGCCAGAATCCCCAGCCACCTACCTAAGCCTGCTGAAGGATGAGGCTGGAATTGGGGAAATGAGGAATGGTTCCTGGTCAAGTGCCTCTAACCACTGGGGCCACTCCCCTCCCCAAGCCAGCACCAAGTCCCAGCCCTCTCTTGTCCCCTCGGGCCGGCTGCTTTGGTGACAGGCCAAGCAGGAGCAGAGAATTCACTACAAACTCTCACCCTGGCCGGTCCTCGGGTTCTGCTAGTAGGGAGCCGAGAGGGAGGCCCCCAGCCATCCTGGTTGGAGGGGCCTTACCACTATGGGAGGAGAAGGAAGGGAGCCTGGCCACACTGTGCCAGTCCAGACTCCCACCGGGTCAGTAAGGGGAGCCCAGGAGTAGGTGGCGCTGGGTCGTGACTGGGCAAGGGTGGGCAGGCCGTTGGTGGCCAACGAGATGCAGTTGAGGTTTTCCTCCTTTTCAGGGAATGGGGGGGTGGGGCGGGGGCCCCCCACCTTTCTGACATCAGCGCTGCCTTGGTCCCTCCTCCCGAGCCGGGGATGGTTGCAGGTAAATCGGGTCCGGGAAGGGGAGGTGGGGGGCCTGTTGGGGGCGGGCTGGGTCTTTATCCTAGCACCTGGTTCCCTCCCTGGCCCCCTCTGAGCTGGACCTGGGACTGCCCCCCCAAGGGACCCTCAGTCGGGCCTGGGCCTTGGAGTGAATTCTCTGCTCACCCCCTCTCTCCTCGCCAGCGCTAACTCTTTCTTCCCAGGTGCTCTCCGGCGTGCCTCCCTTGGAGCCAGGACCTCGCCGAGCGCCCCCACACCACCACTTGTCTCTCTTCCCTCCACACAGCTCTCCTCCCCCCTCCCCAACTCTCCCGGGAGTCCCCTCCCTCTCTGCCCTTGTCCCACCACCCCTGTGCACCAGTATCAGTGTCTGCTGCTCAATAAACCCCAAGAGAGACCCTGCCGGCTGGGGGCAGGGCGGGGCACCCCTCAGGAGGGGCTGGACTTTAACGAAAACCCTTCCTCAGCCCCTGATTTCCTGGGTGCTGGGTCGGGGGTTGTCACAGTCTGCGTCAGGAACCTTGGGTGCCTCTCTCACCCTGGAATAGGAGTGCGCTCCTGACACCCACCCACAGTGGGTACGGAAACATCACTCTACCTTGCAGTTTTTGCAGGAGGAAGAAAATGGAGTTTTTTAAAAAAAGGAAAAAAAAAATATATATATATATATATATCTGTGTCCTGGTGTGGTTGGTGAAAGATGGGACCCTTGACCCTAGCTCTTCCATAGGAGTGCAAATGATGGCAAAGGGACAGGGCCCTGAGTCCCTGGAACCTCAAAGCTGCCAGTGGCTGCAATGAGGAAATCTCTCCATCCCCCACTAAAGGCACAAGAGACTGACTCTGGGATGGCTCTTGCCAAACCCCGTATCCCCAGCCTGTGGGGTCTCTAGCAGCCAGGGAAGGAAAGAGGGGCACTTCCTACCCCCCAACCCCCACTAACCCTGCTCTTAATGGCCTCCAGGGTTGACATCTCCAGGGAGAGGGGCAGCTGGGCGGGGCAGGGGTCCCAGCCCAGAAACCCCCTTCCCATCACCAGCCCTACCAAGCAACCGTGACTGCAGCAGCAGGAGGGGACAGCCTGGCTCCCCCCGCTGGCCGCGTGACCAACTCGCCTCTCTCTCTCCCCTTCCCTCGCCACCCCCCGCTCCCCCCTGCTCCTCTCCCCGTGTCCTCCCTGCCCCTTCCCGCCCGACCCAGTCTTCGTGTGCCCAGGGACCCTGCAGAAGGTTCTGGAGCCCACCTCAACCCACGAGTCGGAGCACCAGTCTGGCGCATGGTGCAAGGACCCACTGCAGGCGGGTGACCGCATCTATGTCATGCCGTGGATCCCTTACCGCACGGACACGCTGACCGAGTACGCCTCGTGGGAGGACTACGTGGCGGCACGTCACACCACCACCTATCGCCTGCCCAACCGCGTAGACGGCACGGGCTTCGTGGTCTACGACGGCGCCGTCTTCTACAACAAGGAGCGCACGCGCAACATCGTCAAGTACGACCTGCGCACGCGCATCAAGAGCGGGGAGACGGTCATCAACACGGCCAATTACCACGACACCTCGCCCTACCGCTGGGGGGGCAAGACCGACATTGACCTGGCGGTGGACGAGAACGGGCTGTGGGTCATCTACGCCACTGAGGGCAACAACGGGCGGCTGGTGGTGAGCCAGCTCAACCCCTACACGCTGCGCTTCGAGGGCACGTGGGAGACGGGCTACGACAAGCGCTCCGCGTCCAACGCCTTCATGGTGTGCGGCGTCCTGTACGTGCTGCGCTCGGTGTACGTGGACGACGACAGCGAGGCGGCCGGCAACCGCGTGGACTACGCCTTCAACACCAACGCCAACCGTGAGGAGCCCGTGAGCCTGGCCTTTCCCAACCCCTACCAGTTCGTCTCCTCTGTCGACTATAACCCTCGCGACAACCAGCTGTATGTCTGGAACAACTACTTTGTAGTGCGCTACAGCCTGGAGTTCGGGCCACCCGACCCTAGTGCGGGTGAGAACAGCTCGAGTTCATGCCCCAATACCCGCTGCCCCTGGGTCTCACAGCGGAGGGGGTGCACCCTGAGCTCCTAGAGGACCTGGAGGTGCGTTCAGGGGAACCCTGGAGGTCACAGGCGTGGCAACGTGACAGGCTGTTTTCAGCACTTTGCAGTTGGTCCTCTGATCCTGCAGTCTGAGAGCCAGGGCTTACTGTTGCCTCATTTACAGACGAGGAAACCCAAGCGCTGGGTGGGCTTCCCCGGTGGCTCAGATGGTAAAAAATCCGCCTGCAGTGTGGGAGACCTGGGTTCCATCCCCGGGTCCGGAAGGCCCCCTGGAGAAGGGAATGGCTACCCACTCCAATATCCTGGCCTGGAGAATTCCACGGACAAAGGAGGCTGGCAGGCTACAGTCTGTGGAGGTCTCAAAAAGTTGGACACAACTGAGCGACTTTCACATACACAAGCACTCGGTGGATGTGAGATTAGCTAGCTTGCTTATTTGAGAAGCTAGAGATTCTGGGCTTGGCTAAAAGCCAAGCTGCACTGAGTCTCCTAAGGGCATTTTGAGCCCTGGGGCCCTTTCAACCCCAGTCTTGGGTGGGAGTACCAGTAAAACAGCAAAGCTGAACTGCTGATATTGACTAGGGTTGGGGACCCCTCCGCAGTCTCATTCTAACCCTTCGGCTACCCTGAACCAGCTCTGCGCAGCCCCACAGCTCCAGAAGAGTCCCCACAAATCAAAAGGGGGGAGTTGAGGTCCCCAGAGGGAAGGGACGTGGCCAGGTCAGAGCCCAGAGTAAGAGGAGCATGAGGATGGGAGCCTTCAACACCTTCCTGGCTTGTCCTCTGCCGTTGCTCTCAGACCTCAGAGTACAAATGAGTGGGTTTCTGCCACCTTCTGATGCTTTATAGTCCCAGGGGTATGCGGGACCTCTGGGCAGAGAGGGGCTAGGGGAGATCTCCAAACCTAGTTGGGAGATCAACCCTGGGGGTAACCCTATCTTGTATCCCCTCTCCCTTCCAGGCCCAGCCACTTCCCCACCCCTCAGCACAACCACCACAGCCCGGCCCACACCCCTGACCAGCACGGCCTCGCCCGCAGCCACCACCCCACTCCGCCGGGCACCCCTCACCACACACCCTGTGGGTGCCATCAACCAGCTGGGACCTGACCTACCTCCAGCCACCGCCCCGGCCCCCAGCACCCGGCGGCCCCCCGCCCCCAATCTGCACGTGTCCCCAGAGCTCTTCTGTGAACCTCGAGAGGTGCGGCGGGTCCAGTGGCCGGCCACCCAGCAGGGCATGCTGGTGGAGAGGCCCTGCCCCAAGGGGACTCGAGGTGAGTGCCGAGCCCAGGTGACCTCTGCTGCAGCTGGCTTGGGGAATGACCACTGCTAGCCTGGCCAGGGAGGGGACAGGGGACATGCCCCTAACTCATCTTGGATGCACTTACCCATCTACCTTCCTTGCCAGGGTGGGCCGTATGCAGGGGTCGTGCTTCATGTCTGCAGCTGTGTCCCCAGGGCACAGTCACAGCTCAGTTAGTGCCCCCTGCCCCACCCGTTCCCTCCTGCAAGTCTAAGCAGGTGCCATGCAAAGCCCTGGATGGACCTTGCAGGGAGCCCCTGGGAGGTAACCTGAGTCCTGGCCTCAGACCGAAAGGGACACAGGCCCAGGAGGGGCTGGGGGCAGGACACAGCAGCTGATGCACCAGAGAAGGCAGGGCCGGGACCAGGCTCCAGGGATCCGAGCGAAGGGTCAGAGAGACTTTGCGGGAGGCGTGGTGGGGCTTCCAAGGTAGGCTTGACCGGAAGGCTCCAGCTCTGTGGTAGGCCAAGCTGGAAGAGGAGCCGAGAGGGCGGGTTTAGGGGAAGTGGGTTGCTCATGTCACCTCAGAGTGACACCTCTCTTTGACTGTCTGGCCTGTTTCATGTCCGGTCTTCCGTGTCCCCTCGCCTCTCCCCTCACCTGCTCGCCCCCGTCTCTCTGCCATCTCCTTTCTCCCTGCTCTGGCCGTCTTCCTCTCCCTCCCCGTGGCTCCCTCCTCTGTTCCTGTGTGTCTGTCCCTACAGGAATTGCCTCCTTCCAGTGTCTACCAGCCCTGGGGCTCTGGAATCCCCGGGGCCCTGACCTCAGCAACTGCACCTCCCCCTGGGTCAACCAGGTGGCCCAGAAGGTACCAGCAGCCACCCCGCCCCCAGACGGGCACACGTGCTTACCCTGCTGGCCCGGGGTGCCCGGGCACAGCAGGGGTGGTGGAACTCCTGGGGAGACAGGCCAGGGTCCACCCCTAGCCTCCAGAGGGAATAGACAGAGGGGGCGGGCCAGGGCAGGCAGAGAGAAGGGGCCGCAGAGAGGGATGAGCGGGGCTGAGCAGGCTGGCTGTGTGGAGAGAGAAGCCCCCTGACGAGGCCGGGGGCTCCCCCTCCTGCCTCCCACAGATCAAGAGCGGGGAGAACGCGGCCAACATTGCCAGTGAGCTGGCCCGCCACACCCGGGGCTCCATCTACGCGGGTGACGTGTCCTCCTCTGTGAAGCTGATGGAGCAACTGCTGGACATTCTGGATGCCCAGCTGCAGGCACTGCGGCCCATTGAGCGCGAGTCGGCCGGCAAGAACTATAACAAGGTGGGCCCGGTGGCAGGGGCTGTGGGGCGGGGGCACCGCCCTGGGAACTTGGGAGGCACCCAGCCTGGCACTGCAGAGCCGGGCAGCCACCCACGGCCAGGAGAGGAGACGGCAGGACAGAGCCCAGGCCGGCTGGGACTCCTTCCTGGATGGTCCTGGGGGTGTGGGGGCTCCCTTGGGAATGGCTCTTGCTCATGGGCTAGCCCCAGGTCAGTGGCAGAGACAGAAGAGGAATCTCTCTGGTGCCCAGATGTGAGTGTCGGGGTTCGAGGAGAGGGGCTGGGAGACCAGCCTTCATACCACCTCCCTTTTCCCCCAGATGCACAAGCGGGAGAGAACTTGCAAGGACTACATCAAGGTGAGGCCTGGGGGCTTCTGTCTTCCTGAATGAGTGGGGCGGGCCCCAGGTGGCACCGGGGGATAGAGGTTCGGAGAAGGGGGTGCAGAACCCAGCTGGAGGGACTGAGGGACGGGGAGTCACAGCGTTGCCCTGCCACACTTGCAGGCTGTGGTGGAGACGGTGGACAACCTCCTGCGGCCAGAGGCCCTCGAGTCCTGGAAGGACATGAACGCCACCGAGCAGGTGCACACGGCCACCATGCTGCTGGACGTCCTGGAGGAGGGTGCCTTCCTGCTGGCGGACAACGTCAGGGAGCCGGCCCGCTTCCTGGCCGCCAAGCAGAACGTGGGTGAGTGCTGCTGTCACGCTGGGGCAAGTTGGGGTGCAGAACTTGAACGGGGTGGGTGCCTGTTCCTCCTGGACACCCCCGGGCTACCCTGGCCCTCAACCTTGCCCAGGCCTCTGGACTGTGGACAGACCCCAACCTTGTGTGTCCTGCCACCCCCTGTCCCCACAGTCCTCGAGGTCACAGTCCTGAACACTGAGGGCCAAGTGCAGGAGCTGGTGTTCCCCCAGGAGTACCCGAGCGAGAACTCAATCCAGCTGTCTGCCAACACCATCAAGCAGAACAGCCGCAACGGTCAGTGTCCGAACCCTGAGCCGGCACCCCAGCTCCTCTCACGGGGAAGTTCTTAACTCTGATCAGGCTGAAGACTCTGATAAGAGGTTGGAGTCCATAGCAACACACAGAGGTGTCCTTCGTTCAAGCTAGTGTAACATTTCGAGGGATTCAGGGGGACCCCACAAAGCCCCACAGAACCTCAGATTGGAGAGGTCACTCCTGTGTGACAGCAGTTGATCCTCAGAGCTTAGGGCAGGTTGTGCCATTTGAGATTAAGGCCCGGAGAGGTTAGGGATTTGCTCAGGGTCCCACGGAAAGTGAAAGGTAGGTGAGGTGTGTCCTGGACCACTACCTTGCCATTGGGAACTGCCTGCAACTGAGCAGCGGTCCCGCGGAAGGGCTCCCAGAGCCCCGCTTGCCTGGGCGGCAGCCTGACTTCAAAGGTCCCAGCGGCCAGTGTACCTGGAGGGCGGCACCTGCCAGGAGCTGACAGCACACCTGCTGGGCCTGTCCTACCTAGGAGTGGTCAAGGTTGTCTTCATTCTCTACAACAACCTGGGCCTCTTCCTGTCCACTGAGAACGCCACGGTGAAGCTGGCAGGCGAAGCAGGCTCGGGGGGCCCAGGGGGCGCCTCCCTGGTGGTGAACTCGCAGGTCATCGCGGCGTCCATCAACAAGGAGTCCAGCCGAGTCTTCCTCATGGACCCTGTCATCTTCACTGTGGCCCACCTGGAGGTGAGCTGAGATGCCCCATCCTTCCGTGAGTGTCCCAGCACCCTCCACTTTCCCAGGCTACAGCTCCATACCCCCTACAGTGTGTTCGCTCACCCCGAGAGCAAGTTACAACCCTTCCCTGGAGAAGCAGCCCCCCGGCCCCCACCTTAGCAGCTCGGGCCATCTGTCCCCAGAGATCTCAGGCTTGACCTGGAGCCGGAAGCCCCAGGCGTGTCTCTCCTGCTTGTCCCCATGGTGGGGTGTGAGGGCTAGGGCTGGACTCCCAGCTCTGACCCCCCCCCGGCCCCCACCCCACAACAGGCCAAGAACCACTTCAACGCTAACTGCTCCTTCTGGAACTACTCAGAGCGCTCCATGCTGGGCTACTGGTCAACCCAGGGCTGCCGCTTGGTGGAGTCCAACAAGACCCATACCACGTGTGCCTGCAGCCACCTCACCAACTTTGCTGTGCTCATGGCGCACCGCGAGATCGTAAGCTGGCCAGCGCCCCGCTCCTCCTGGCGGGCCTGCTTGCTGGCCCAGCCTTGCATGGCCTCTTAGAGAGCACTGCTTCCCTGGTGGTGCCAGGGAAGGCCACCTTCATGGGCATGGGGGGCCCGAGTCTTGCCCTGGGCAGGAGGCCACATGTCTGGCTCTCCCTAGTCTGAGTTCCACCTTCTCCCAAGGCCCGCTGGAGAAGCAAGTTGGTGTCAACCTTTGTCATCTCGCCACAAGCCTGCCAGAGAATGGGAAGTGAGCATGCCACCTGTAGAGGGGTGGGGGCCTGGCTAGTTGACCGGGGTGGGGCAGAAGGCCAGGTAGCTGGCAGAAGGCCCAGTGGGCTGCAGCTCGTGGCCCCCGGCCTGGTCCGTGTGTGCAAGGCCAGAGGTGCTCAGCATGCACCCTGCTCCTCCCCCAGTACCAGGGCCGCATCAATGAGCTGCTGCTGTCGGTCATCACTTGGGTGGGCATCGTCATCTCCCTGGTCTGCCTGGCCATCTGCATCTCCACCTTCTGCTTCCTGCGGGGACTGCAGACCGACCGGAACACCATCCACAAGAACCTCTGCATCAACCTCTTCCTGGCAGAGCTGCTGTTCCTCGTTGGGATAGACAAGACTCAGTATGAGGTGGGTGGGACTCTGGGGCAGGAGCAGAAGGGGCGGCAGGGAGGAGAGGTGATGCTCACTGGCCGGTCAGCAGCCAGGGCAGCCCGTCACCTCTGTTGCCTCCCCACCCCTGCCCCCAGATCGCCTGCCCCATCTTCGCGGGCCTGCTGCACTACTTCTTCCTGGCTGCCTTCTCCTGGCTGTGCCTAGAGGGTGTGCACCTCTACCTGCTGCTGGTGGAGGTGTTTGAGAGCGAGTACTCCCGCACCAAGTACTACTACCTGGGCGGGTACTGCTTCCCTGCCCTGGTGGTGGGCATCGCGGCCGCCATCGACTACCGCAGCTACGGCACCGAGAAGGCGTGAGTGCCCCCTCCACCCAGTCTCTCCTCCTCGCTGGTTCCCTGCTCAGCAGCCTCCCTGGGGCCAGGAACCTCAGGGCACTAGCCTCCCTTCTCCTGAGCTCTGGGGCCCCAGCCATTAGAGTCCCTGGGCCCTGGGAGCCAGAGGGAGGGAAGGGCGCACCGCCTCCCCCACCCGTCCCTTCCCGGCTCTGCTTGCTTTACAGTTGTTGGCTCCGAGTGGACAATTACTTCATCTGGAGCTTCATTGGGCCCGTCTCCTTTGTCATTGTGGTGAGTTGGAAGGCAGTATCCCCAGCATTGAGTCTGTCCTTCATCCAGACCAGCTCTGACCCCCGGACCCCCATTCTCCCCAAGCCCTTGAAAACTGAGCAGCCAACTGAGGCTAAAGGAGCAGCTTGCATCTGTAAAGCTCCAGCACTGAGGCCTGTTTGTCTAGGAGCGGTGGTGTGAGCTCCCGCTGTGTCAGGCCCTGGGCCCTGTCCCCCAGTCCCGAGAGCCACATTAACAGTTGCCCCAGTTGTCAGGCACCGAGGGGCAGGAAATGGCAACCCACTGCAGGATTCTTTCTTGGGAAATCCCACGGACAGAGGAGCCTGGGGGGTATAGTCCATGGGGTCGCAAAAAAGTTGGACATCACGGAGCACACACAGCAGCAGAGGGGACCCTGAAGCAGGGGGTGGGAGCTGAGATGTGGTCAGGAGCTGCTGCTCGGAGGCAGAGGGACTGCGGGCCAGCCCTCCCCTTGCCTGCCTCCAGGTGAACCTGGTGTTCCTCATGGTGACTCTGCACAAGATGGTCCGGAGCTCGTCCGTGCTCAAGCCTGACTCCAGTCGCCTCGACAACATTAAGTGAGCACCCCTCCCCACACCCCTGCCCTGGCACCTCTGAGCTGGGCCCAGCCTCTCCTAGGCTTTCCTGAAAGGTGGTGTTCTCACCTCTGGTGTTGGTTTTTAAGGACAAAGGTGGTGTTTTACTATGTTCTTTATGTATCTGTTTAATGAGTATTTAAACATGGCGTTAGTACAACCAGCACATCATTGCATAGGGTGAGACTGAGTTCACAAAGCAAGTCCAGGGAGTCCCCTGGAGGTCCAGTGGTCAGGATTCGGTGCTTTCACTGCCAAGGGTGTGGGTTTAGTCCCTGGCTGGGGAACTAAAGATCCTACAAGTCATTCAAGGTGGCTGAAAAAAATATGCGAGTCCATTTCAGGGTAACTTAAAGACAAATAGGCAACAGAAGATAGATTAAAGGTTTGGAAGTGTGGCCAAGAGGATGAAGGATGCAGGAGAATGACCGGCTATTCAGAGAACCCTGACCGCCCCCCCCCCCCCACAACCTCCACATGCCCCCCAGGCCTAGCTGGGCTGATGAGTGTTGCTGGGCAGGCCCGCTTACGCCAGGGCAGTGTCCAGGCTTGCTGGAATAGGGACACACAGCAGGGCATGGCGGGGACTCTGATGTCCTATCTCCTCCCCACCCCCCAGATCTTGGGCCTTGGGGGCCATTGCGCTGCTCTTCCTGCTGGGCCTCACGTGGGCTTTCGGCCTCCTCTTCATCAACAAGGAATCGGTGGTCATGGCCTATCTCTTCACCACCTTCAATGCCTTCCAGGGGGTCTTCATCTTCGTCTTTCACTGCGCCTTACAGAAGAAGGTGAGTTCCAGGGAAGGGGGCCAGGGGCCTGCCTTCTGCAGCGGGACCTGTGTCTGCCTGGAGGGAAGCACAGGCTCAGGCAGATTCTAGCCGGGGGTGAGGAGGGTTCTGGAAGAGAGCAAGATACAGGAGCCCAGAGGAATGAGAAAGCAAGACAGATGTGGAGAGTCAGGAGAGCTCAGGGCAGGGACTTAGCTTGGGGTGTAGATCAAGCGTGTGGAGGTGTGCCTGGGTGCCACCCAGACAGAACATTTCCTACTTTAATAGTCGCAGGGTAAACCGTGAGTTTTGTGGTGACAGGAAGTTTCCTTTTTAAATAAAGGGTGTTAAAGTCTGAATCTTTAAAATAAAGAGGTAACAGAAGCAGAGGAATGTGGAGAAGAGCATACAGGCTGTAGACTCAAGACGGAAGCCAGGGGAACGGGGCCAAGGAGTGTTAGACTTCATCTTGAAGGAGTGGGGAGCCCCAGTCAGGCCGTTGTTGATCTCAGAGGACAGTGAGGTGGGTAAGGCTACACGGGGAGTGAAGAAGGCAGGGATCGCTGGTCTTGGCTGCGAGGTCAGCTGTGTTCCCGCTCTGATCAGAGGTCCTCATGGGACACACAGCGACAGTGACAAGCTTACAGAGCTCCCCTGCCGGCCCACAGGGTCCACCCTGGGCTCCCCCTTTCCTTCCCTTTCCTCCTGCCATGCTGTGTCTTCTGTTCCCTCAGACACTTAGACGTGGACCTTCCTCAGGGCTTGTCCCCTGCCCCTCCCCAGATATCTGCGGGGCCCACTGCCTTGTTTCTTTCAGGTCTTTGCCAAAATGTCTCCTTAGTGAGTCCCCCCGCTCCCCTGTCTGTTGGACATCACCACCCCGACCCCTGCCGCCAGCACTGCCTAACCCCCGGCCATGGTTCTCTGAGCAGACATCCGACATAACGCACTGATGTTGTAGATGTGTTCAGTCTCTATCTGCTGGAAGATACCAGCTCTGAGAAGTAGGGCTTTGTTTCTGATTTGCATCTGTCCTCGGGGCCTAAACCACACTTGGCATATAGAAGACGCTCCTTGAAGATGTGCTGAGCGAATGAACAGAGAAGGACTTAATGGTGAAGGTGGAGAAAGGAGGATGGGCCTGAGTGAGAAGAGAGCCTGCTAGGCTGACCGCTGGGGGCAGGAGGAGGCGGCGGGGTTTCTGATGCCCACCAGGAGCCTGGTCTCGGGACTGCCAAGGCTGGGGCACCTCCTGCCAACTGCCTGTCGTCCTCACCCCCCCCCCGCCCCCTCCGCAGGTGCATAAGGAGTACAGCAAGTGCCTGCGTCACTCCTACTGCTGCATCCGCTCCCCGCCCGGGGGCGCGCACGGCTCACTCAAGACCTCAGCGATGCGGAGCAACACCCGCTACTACACAGGGACCCAGGTACGCAGGCAGGGCCGGCGCCCTGGGGCTGAGGGCCGACCCGAGGGGGCAGGGCAGTTCTCCGCCCGGGTCCCTGGTGGTGCCCATCAGGCCCGGGGAGGGCGGGTGGCCCGAGGGCCCCTCACGTCTGGGTTACGTCCCCAGAGCCGAATCCGGAGGATGTGGAATGACACCGTGAGAAAGCAGACAGAATCCTCCTTCATGGCAGGCGACATCAACAGCACCCCTACCCTGAACCGAGGTGAGGGGGCACTCCTGAGCCCCACCTGCGCTCCCTTTGAGGTTCTCCCAGCTGCCTCGTGACCTCTTCCCTCCTGGGCAGGTACCATGGGGAACCATCTGCTGACCAACCCTGTGCTGCAGCCCCGTGGGGGCACCAGCCCCTACAACACCCTCATTGCCGAGTCGGTGGGCTTCAACCCCTCCTCGCCCCCAGTCTTCAACTCCCCAGGTGAGCGCACGCTGGTGCTGGGAGAGGGTGTCAGGTCTGGGGGTGGGGAGGGTCTCTACGGGGGTCACCCTCGTGCCTCCCGAACTGGACAGAGCCTAGACCCGGCATTCTGAGCCTGCTCTCATCTTCTCTCTCTTCCCTCCTGGCCGGCACCTGCAGGGAGCTACCGGGAGCCCAGTAAGTGTGACCGTTTCCTAGTGACGTTTCCAAGGGTGGGAGGGGAATGCGACAGTGGCCCCCTCTGGTGACCCCATCTTAGAAGAACTGGGGTGCCCCCCACACACAGACAGGAGTCTCTGGCTTGGCAGCTGGCTGGATGATGTTGCATTAGGTGGGGGGAAGGTGATGGAGATCATGGGAAAGGGGCCTGGCCACCCAGGCTCATACTGCTGAGTCTCCAAGCCCCCAGGTGGGAGGGGACCCTGGGGAAATTGGTCCCCACATCCACCCCCACTCACCTTCTGCTGAGCTGGTATCCCCACTGCCAGTGAGGGAGAGAGGGAATAGAAGACCCCGGAGCCCAGGGACGGGGTGAGCCCAGGGAAAGCAGGGGAGAGCAGACACCCACCTCCCACGCAGCCCACAGCCCGCCCACTGCCCAGGTGCCCGCCTGAGCTGCTCCCCCCTGCCTGCAGAACACCCCCTGGGGGGCCGGGAAGCCTGCGGCATGGACACGCTGCCCCTCAATGGAAACTTCAACAACAGCTACTCCTTGCGAAGCGGGGATTTCCCCCCAGGGGACGGGGCCCCTGAGCCCCCTCGAGGCCGGAACCTGGCCGACGCCGCTGCCTTCGAGAAGATGATCATCTCGGAGCTGGTGCACAACAACCTGCGGGGGGGCAGCGGTGGGGCCAAGGGCCCCCCACCACCGGAGCCGCCTGTGCCGCCAGTGCCGGGGGGCAGCGGGGAGGAAGAGGCCGGCGGGCCCGGGGGCGCTGACCGGGCCGAGATCGAACTTCTCTACAAGGCCCTGGAGGAGCCACTGCTGCTGCCCCGGGCCCAGTCGGTGCTGTACCAGAGCGATCTGGACGAGTCGGAGAGCTGCACGGCGGAGGACGGAGCCACCAGCCGGCCCCTCTCCTCGCCTCCAGGCCGGGACTCCCTCTACGCCAGCGGGGCCAACCTGCGGGACTCGCCCTCCTACCCGGACAGCAGCCCCGAGGGGCCCAGCGAGGCCCTGCCCCCACCCCCACCCGCACCCCCTGGCCCCCCTGAAATCTACTACACCTCGCGCCCGCCGGCCCTGGTGGCCCGGAATCCCCTGCAGGGCTACTACCAGGTGCGGCGGCCCAGCCACGAGGGCTACCTGGCGGCCCCGGGCCTTGAGGGGCCAGGGCCCGACGGGGACGGGCAGATGCAGCTGGTTACCAGTCTCTGAGGGACCTCACGGACCGGGGGCTGGTGGCCCGGGCCAGGGAGGGGCCCCTGGGTGGGGCTCTGGTGGGAGCGGGAGACAGATGGAGACAGTGGCCGACGGGCCACTCTCTCCAGGCGCCCCTTGGCCGTGGGCCCTCCAGGCCCCTTGGGGGCTCCGCTGTGGGGGCCCGAGGTGCAGGGTTCACAGACAGGGTTTCCCACCAGCCATGTGCACCAGCTCAATTCGGGGGAAGTGCAGTGAGGAGCCAAGAGGTCCCCAGGGGAGTGAGGAAGGAGACATTGGAAGGGTGCAGCCCACCCTTGACTTCCCCTGCCCCCCTACCCTTCCTGCTCCCTGGAGGGAAATGAGGGTTCTGCTTGCCCTGGGCCAAAGGCCCTGCTGGATGAAGCCTGGCAGCTGCTCCTCTCTTTGCAGCCGGAAGTGCTGCCGGCTGCACCCAGATGGAGCACTGGGCACAGGACAGATGGACAGGTTCCTCTGCACTCCAGTTCCCTGCTCCTCCTCAGAGACTGGGGCCTCTGGCCTGGGAGAGAGCCCTCAGGGGGAGAAAGCCCCAGGGCAAGAGGAATGGGCAGTTGTGGTTGGTGGTTTACAGGTGGAACTTTCTCTGAAGCTCCTTCTCTCTGCTCTTCGTCCCCGCTTTCCCGGCAAGCCTGCCCCCTCAGCCCTCCCTGAGTGCACCCAATGACCCCCTCCCTTGGGGCGACTCCTGATGAAGCACAACTCCCCGCAGGGCCCCAAGCCCACAGGGGTGGCCATATTTGAGCAGTTCCCAGTCCTGTGGGCTCGGCTATCTGGGGAGCAGATTTTGGGTCTGGAGCTCTCTGGGGAGTGGGTCCTGGGCTTGGATCTTTCCCTAGGGGGCCCTCTTACCCCCCCCTTCTTTTTCCCCCTTTGTTTTAATTTTTTCATTGAATTGGAAAGGAAAAAAAAAAAAAAAGACAAAGAAAGAAAGAAAATCTCATCACTTGAAGCCACCGGGAGCCTGCGGCCAGGCCAGCCCGGGATTTCTCCGGAGCAGAGCTGCGCCGCTGGGCCCTGGCAGCCAGGACTTCTCCATGTACGTGTGCATCCCCCAGCCGGGGTGGGCGGGCCACCAGAGCAGCTTTTTACAATCCAGAGACAAACAATCTAGAAGCAACATCGAAACAAAGAACCCGTTACCTTCCCCTGGCACCTGGTTCTGTCGCCTCTCCCCGTTCCCCTTCTCCCTGGCATCAGTCAGCCCTCCTGGGGCGTGTACCTCACTGCCTGCCCCAGGGCTCGGCCCGTCTCCCCCGCCCATCCCTGTGGCCTGGGGAGGCACCCTCATGCCCAAAGATGCTTCTGCCGAGATGGCTGCGCTGTCCCTTTTGAGTTCCTGCTTCTTGTATATTGCTTCTGGGACTCTGGGCCTGGGAAGAAGGGGCTGATTTCCTGCCTAGAGAAGTTGACAGGGGAAGGAAAATGAGGGCAGCAGTGTTTGCTGGGGGCGGGTAGGACTGAGAAGGACTGGGAGTGGTGAGGTGGTCGTCTCTCACGGGGTGGGGAGGCCAAAGCTGAGAGATCGCCTTGCCTGCCCCCACCCTCCCGCAGGAGAGGCAAGCCAGGTACTAGGGTCCGGCTGCGGTGTCTCCTGAGGACCTCTCCCTGCCCCCTCTCCAGTCTGTCTCCCTGGCCTTCCCAGCAACCCCCCCCACCTCTTTGGGGGTAGCATAGTCCCATTGCCATAGCCCAGCCCTGTCATTGCCATTTCCCCAGGGGTAGCCCTCCACCTTTGCTCTGACCCCTCATCTCTTTTGTCCCTCTTTTCTCACAAGTGCCATGAGTTTTCAAACATCTTTGGGTCTCAGCCTGCTGCTGCCATGAACTTCTTTGGGTTCAGGGGGAGGGACTCTAGGGAGGAACTGGGGAAAAGGGGCAGAGAGGTGGCTGGAGGGACCCTTTTTGCTGCTAGAAAGCCCCTCCCTTCTCCTGAGGAGCTAGGGCTGGCTGGCCCCCATCAGTTAGGGGAGAAGGGGCCAGACCAAAGAAGGTGGTCTGTCCCATGCCAGGGGACAGGTGTGGGGAGAAGGTAAGGCTGGGTTCCATCTGTTTTCTGGGAGGGTTGACCCCTTTCACCAGACTATGGGCAGGTCTGAACGGGGGAGGGGAAGGATGGGAACGGTCTTGCCCCGGTGGCTCCGTGAGGAAGGTATGGGGCTGCTCCATGGCTTTCCTTGACTTCATTAGCCCAGAACTCCTCTCTGGGGACTAGAGAGCTGCTGGGAGACAAGGGTAGGTGGAAGGGTGGGCCTGGCCCAAGCATTGGCCAGGCTAGAGAGTCAGACTGCCTCTGGCATCAGCAGAGAGGTCTGGAAGAGGTGGGGGGCTGGGGGGAGAGGTCCCAGGGGACTGGAGGCAAGCAAGGCGTCCCGCTTCCTCTCCCCTGCCCAGTCCCCCGTTTATCTCTCCAGACTCTGACAATCAAGGGGAGAGAGGGTGCAGCAGGTCCCGGGGTTCCCGTTCCAGCCAGAATCCCCAAGGTGGGTTCCCAGGCCTCAGAGCTGTGTGGCAGGGCCCTCTGGTCGGTAGGTCTGGACACACTGCAGCCCAGCACGAGGCTACCATGAGCGCCCAGGTGTCCCCCCACCCCTGCCAGACCTGGTGCCTTGATGCCCCCACCCCAGCTGGGACAGTATAGAGGAGGAAGGGTCTTGGTTTCCTCTCCTACTCCCTTCCTTGGGCTCCTGAATTCATTTGCTTTGAAATTTTGTTAATTATTTTTCTCCGGGTTTGGTGTTTGGGGTTTTTTTTGGGGGGGGGGCGGGTTTGGTTTTCTTTGCCTTCCTTTCTCAGTGTCTCCACCTCTTCCCCTGTGTCTTTCTCACTGTCTCTGTGTTCCTCTTCTCTCACCCTCAGTTTCTCTCTGTCCATTCGGGCCTCCTCCCCTCTTCTCCCATGACCCCAGTCCCTCCTGGTCTCCTTTTCGATATGCCAAACCAATTTTGGGTCGAGTGCATTTAACGAGAACAAAACAAAAGGCTCATAACAACAAGAACGTTTCAGAAAAAAACAAAAAGTTAAAAAAAAATTGTTGAGTCAAAAATCAATAAAGAAATTAAGATTTCTTGGAATGACAAGAGTGGCATGACTCATTGCGGTGGGGGTGATTGGGGGTGTGGTGAGAGGCGCTTGAGCAGCTCTTCACAGAGCATCCCTGAGGCTGTGACAGAGAGGAGCCTGCCCTGCTGCTCAGAACCCATGGCAGAGGCCTGAGGAGTCAGAGCCATCCACGTGCCCAGCACTTGGTAGGCTCAAGGGCCTAGCTGGGCAATTCAGGTGCAATTTCTTTCTCAAGCCTCATAAGTGCTCTGGGTGGAGGGTACCAGTGCTCCATCTCACAGGTGGGGAAACAGGCTTCTAGCACCTGGGTGCACATCCCCGCCTCTGGGCTAGGCCACTGTGCCACACTGTCTCAGCCAAGCCCTTCTTGGCCCAGATCTCTGTCCACAGGCCATGTTAAGAGCCAAGCCCAGGAACCATATGCTGTGCCATGTGTGATTCCAGCTGCCATTCCTAGACTCCCACACATTACTGGAGTGGTGCATTTTTTATTGTGACAGCACAGTGGAATGGCATCATGTGTATTTCACTTTCTCAAATATAGCAGCCAGTGTTCAGAGACAGGGGAATGACCAAAGAGCGAAAGAACCTCTCTCCATGCCCATCTGCCCTCAACACAGGCATCTGGGGTGCCACCCTCCACCATTCCTCTCCCCAGCTACTCCTTCCCAGTCTCCACACTGGTTCCCTCTCATCTCCTGACTTCTTAATGTTGACAGGCCCAAGGGTTCAGCCTTGGACCTTTACCTACACTCACTCCCTGGGAGATCTCATCCCATTTCATGGTTTTAAATACAGTTGACCCTTGAGCAACACAACACCACACAGGTCCACTCAGATGAGGATTTTTTTTTTTAAATAAGTACATTGGAAACATTTTTGGAGATTCGCAACAATTGGTAAAAGGTATAGCCTAGAAATATTAAAAAAATAAGAAAGGTATGTCATAAATGCATAAAATATATATAGATACTATTTTATCATTTATTACTATAAAATGCAGGCTTTCCAGGTGACTCAGTAGTAAGGAAATCATCAGCCAATGCAGAAGACCCTGGGTCAATCCTTAGGTTGGAAGATCCCTTGGAGAAGGAAATGGTAACCTACTCCAGTATTCTTGCCTGGGAAATCACCTGGACAGAGGAGCATGGCAGTCTACAGTCCATGGAGTCACAAAAGAGCTGGACATGATTTAGTGACTAAACAACAATCATAAAATATATACATGTTGATTATAAAAAGTTGAAGTTAAAACTTATCAAAACTTCCAGACTTACAGACCATACATGGGCGCCACGGACCATACAAGGCTCCCATAAAGCAATCATTGCTGCTTCTTCATTACCAATGTGTGAAGCATTATACCTGTAAATAAAAATGAATTTCTTTTTCACAGTTACCTAATTTCATTTTTGATGTCCAGTGTTAGGAATATGCATAACATCTACAGTGTTTTTTGTATTATATAAGAAAACATTGATGTAGGTACTGAGAGACAATTCATCTGGTAGACAGATGAGGTAAACTTACGGTATTGATAAATATAGTATAGTATTATAAACGCATTTTCTCTTCCTTATGATTTTAATAGTTTCTTTTCTATAGCTTACTTTACTGTAAGAATACAGGATATAATACATATAACACACAAAATATGTATTAATTTACTATTTATGTTATTGGTAAGGCTTGCAGTCAACAGTAGGCTATTAGTAGTGAAGTTCTGGGGGAAACAAAAGTTATACATGGAGGGACTTCCCTGGCAGTCCAGTGGTTAAGACTCTGTGTTTCCACGGCAAGGGACAAGGGTTCAATCCCTGGTTGGGGAACATGCTGTGTAGTGCAGCCAGAAAAAAAAAAAGTTACACATGGATTTTTGATTGCACAAGGGTCAGCACCCCAAACTCCTGCATTGCTCAAGGTCAGATGTACTATCTATTATACTGATGACTTCCAAATGTAGAGCTCCAACCTGAACTTCTATCTCGAGCTCTAGATTCATTTACATCCAATGAACCACTCCACATCTTCCCCTGGATGTCTGGTAAGATCTCAAATGTAATGTGTCCTGAACCCAACTACACACACACTCACACACACACACCTGCTCCAGTTCTTCCTACCAGCTTCACCTTGATTAATAGCAAGTCCATCCTGAGACTCAAGATGCCCCTTGGAGCCTCCCTTGAACTTACTTGCTGTTTCGTACCCCACGTCTAATCTGAAGCAGATGCAATAGTGGCTTTAACTTTTAAAATACCCAGAATTAACTAGTCCTCACTACCTTGGTCCAAGCCCCCACCTTCTCTCACCAGGACCATGGTAACAGTCCACCAACTAGCTCCCTTGTCCCTCTTCAGGCTTTTCTTAACACAGAAACCAGAGTGATCGCAATAAGCATATTTTTGTCCCTCCTCTGCTTAAAACTCTAAAGGCTTCCTCCTGGCCCAGAAAAAGGGGCCAGGACAATAAAATGGTCCACAAGGCTCTCCAGTATCAGATCTCATCCCCATGGCTCTCCTCCTTCCCTCCACTCCAGTCACACTGGGATCCTCACCATCCACAAACATGCAGACAATCACCTGTCTGCCTCAGGACCTTTGCACCGGCTGTTCCTAGGGTTCACCTCTTCTCCTGGCAGGGCATATAAAAATCAGAGCTTCCAGCAGGCCTTACCAGGCTACTCCATTTAAATGGCAAGTGTTGCTTCAGAATTTCCTAACCCCTGTCTTGCATTGTCTCCCATCTCACAAACTATCTTTTTTGCTTGTTTATTGTCTGCTTCCCCACCTCCCACACTAGAATATAATGCACAAGTCATTTCCGATTCTTTGCGACCCCATGGACTATATAGTCCATGGAATTCTCCAGGCCAGAATACTGGAGTGGGTAGCCTTTCCCTTCTCCAGGGATCTTCCCAACCCAGGGAAGATTGCAGGCAGATGCTTTACTGGCTGAGCCACAAGATAAGCCCAAGAATATAATGCATAAGGGTCTTTTTCTTTTCACTGCTGTTTCCTACTGTTTAGCACAGTGTCTGACACACTGTAGGTGTTCAATGAATATTTGTTAAAAGCATAAAGCTGAACTGAGCATCAGACCCAGAGCAGGCCTGAGATAAGTTAAAACCCTTCCCTCAGCAGCTCTCAGCTCCCACACACTGTTCTGTGTGATGCTGATGTTAGCTCAGCATGGCCCTGAAACCTAAGTTCAACAGTTTAGCTGGTGCCCAACGATATTCTATGCTGACGAAGAACTAGTTCTACTGGACTTACTGAGAGATGCTCTGCAAGCAAATTCGGGAGATTTAAGCATAGTTAAACTTAATTACATATGATTCTGACCTCATGCTCTTTGAAATGTAATCCTGGCATAAGATGAGATTCTACAGAAAGGCCAGTTCTTCTACCTTTTTGCCCTTTACTCCCCCAGCACTGCACACACGACTCCTTCCTCCGCACATACAGTGAAACCTGCTGTGCCTGACAACCTGTGACCCTCAGGGCTTGTTACTGGCACCCTTCCATACTGAGGGCAACCATATGCACATGCCCAGGAATAGTAACACTTATGTTGAGACTCCTTTCAAAGCTCTTTGCTACATTTCATCTTAATGATCATAAGATATATATTATTATCCCCATACATCAGATGAGGAAACTGAAGTTAAGAATGATTAAATGACTCACTCAAGTAAGATTACGAAGCAGTTCAGAGTGCCCACACCCTGTAGATACCTTACCATACCGTCCAATTTAATCCTTCCAACCACCCAATGAGACAGGTTTTACTTCGCTCCATTTTACACCTGCAGAAGCTGAAGCCCAGAAAGGTTTAAGAACACACCGATGTTCACCTGGCTAATAAGAGAAAGTTCGACCAGGCCTCTATATTGGTCTCCTGACCCCAGGGGCTGCATCTAGGGTTGTCTGCACTCAGTTGAAGTTGCCCCCCCCCCCCCCCACACACACACACTTCCTGCCAAGCCCACTAGGCACACACCACGGGGCCAGACTATATGGGCTCCCCACATCAGAGGAGACGCCCACAAACTGTGCCACACCCTGATGGTCCCTACGTAGCCAGTATGTTAGAGGACTATCCAGAGTGGACTCATGTGAGTTAAGCTAGAGGGAAGGCCCTGATGCAGAGCAATGGAGGATTCTCTCAGATTACCAAAGGACTGGAAAGCACTGGAGCCTCTGCCGTTGAGAAAACCTCCTCTCCCCCATGAACTCTTGGGAAGGTCTAGAGGTGCTAGGCTGAGGCTACCCCTTTATCCCCACAATATCGTCAGGTTTATTCTTTTTATTTTTTAATTGAAGGATAGATGCTTTACAGAATTTTGTTGTTTTCTGTCAAACCTCAACATGAATCAGCCATGTGTTGTGTGTTAGTCGCTCAGTCATGTCTGACTCTGCGATCCCACAGACTGTAGCCCGCAGGCTTCTCTGTCCATGGGATTCTCTAGGCAAGAACACTGGAGTGGATTGCCATTCCCTTTTCCAGAGGATCTTCCTGACCCAGTGATCGAACCCTGGTCTCCTGCATTGCAGGCAGATTCTTTACCATTTGAACTATAGGCAATCAGCCACAGGTATACATGTCCCCTCCCTCTTGAACCTCCCTCCCACCTTCCCCCTCTAGGTTGATACAGAGCCCCTGTTTGAGTTCCCTGAGATACAGTATTCCTTCTTCTTTATTTTTGGCTGCACTGGGTCTTCGTTACTGCACATGGGCCTTCTCTAGCTGCAGCGAGCAGGGGCTACGCTCTAGCTGCGGCACACAGGATTTCTCGTGGCTTCTTCTATTGCAGAGCATGGGCTCTAGAGCACAGGGGCTTAGTAGTTGCAGTGCTTGGGCTTAGCTGCCCGGTGGCATATGGAATCTTCCTGGACCAGACACCAAACCCGTGTCCTGTGCATTGGCGGATGGGTTCTGAACTGCACGGTCCCCAGGGAAGTCACTCCTCAGGCTTATTCTGCTCCTCGCTCACCTTTTCAAACATCTGAGTCACGGCAACAAGCTGTGATGACAGGACCCACTCCCACTTATATCCCTTCCTACGTCACTGGGCCTCTCCTTGATGAAAACCCTTGTAATCACGACTCTTCTGTCCTGCCCCACTGTTTTCTACCACCCTCTGCCTCTGTCCAAGCGATCCCAGCTTCTCACAACTGAAGCCCTCACTTTAAGCCAACCAGCCCTCTCCTGGGAACTGATCCTAAGGAAACACCCAAGTGCATGAAGACTGCGACAAGAAGCTTCGCTGCAACAAGGCTTCTAAGAGGGAAACACTAGATAATCTAAAATTTCAGCACAGAGAACTGTTATGTGAATAATGCACATCCATAAACAGAACACCATGCGGCCATTCAAAATGATAATGTAGAAGAACACTAGATGATGTGAAAATATATTCATAATAATCCTAACGGTAAAAACCTATATATATAAATATGATAAAGTATGACTTTACTTTTGTTGTGATGGCATGAATATACAAAAAGTGTGTATATACAAATATGAAAATGTGTGTGTATAAATGTAAAATATATGCAGAATATAAAGCTAAACATCAGAATATTAACAGAGGTAACTTGAACTTTCTTGCAACTCTGTATTTTAAAAACTATTTGCATTACACATATATTACTTTTGCAACAGGAAAAAGTATTTGTGTGTCCTACTTTCTATGTAGGAACAAAGGCCAAGGATAACCAACACAAATGGAAGAAGAAAGAACTAGGTGGGGAACTAGCCTTCCCAAGACTGGTTATAGTGTGTTAATATTTTGCACAATGGGGTGTTGGCAGGAGAAGAGACAAAAAATCTAAGGGAAGAGACCTGTGGCTAGATGGAAACTTGCTCCAGGCAGAGATTACAAATCACTAGAAAAAGAATGGATTGATCCAGAGGATCTGATATTTTCTGGTCTTGAGTTCCCTTCACTCTTTTTAAAAACTTATTTTAAAAATAATGGTAAGGAGGGGGATGTCTGGGAGGAGCACAGAGGAATTTTAGGGCAGTAAAGATACTCTGTATGATTTATAATGATGAATATATGTCACACATTTGTTGAAGTCCATAGAATGTACACCAACAGTGAACCTCTCTGTAAGTTGTACATTTAGGTGATAATGATGTGTCAGTATAGGTTCATCAATTGTAACAAATTTACCACTTCGGTGGTGGATGTTAATGGTGGGGGAGGCTATGCATGTGTGAGGCGGAAGGGGATGTGAAAAATCTGTCATGAACGTAAAACTGCTCTAAAAAATTAATTTAAAAAAAATTAATGAGGACCCTAATGAGCTGTTCTTTATGGGACTAGAGATTATATCTATTTATATTTACTAAATTGG